GATGATCTTCACTCCTGGGCTCAGAACCGTCAATGGAAATGCTCTGCCATACCTGCCCGTCGTACGTCAGGTACAGTTCCCTCAGGTGGAGTTGCAGTGTTCGTTCGAGATGCACTGGGCCTTCGGCACCCACCTCAAGGGCAGCTGGTGTGGGACCACCGACTCCAGCAGGTCATTGTTGACATCAGCGGCTGGCCCCCCATCACGATCTTCAATGTGTATATGCAAGATTCCCTTGGGGCTGTTGGCATAAACGCTGAGATATTAGCTGCTGCAGGTCGCTTGCTCTCGACATGTTCTGGGCCCGCCATCATGGGTGGTGATTGGAACATGGCACCGACTGATCTGGAGCAAAGCAGCCTTTTCCCGCAGCAGGTGGACATGGTTCTGGCCTTCCCTGCTCAGGCTACGTTCCGAGGAGGCATGGGCGCCAGCACTATCGACTTTTTCTGCCTCAATGATGCTGTTGTTCGTGGTTATCGGGGAGTCAACGCGGCCATGACCTGGCACAAAAAGGCCCATCGTCCTGTGCAGGCGCAGCTGATTGACAACGGGGTGGACGTGCAGCACTAGGTGTATTCTGTCTCCTCCAAGCTGCCTGCCACCCCGCCGCCAGGGCCGCGCACGAGGCCCACCGACTGGACGCTACATCGAGCCCTTGCTGAGCGCACCGTCGAGCTGGCGGCTGACCCCAGCAGCGACGTGGCGGTGGTCTGGGCACTCCTCACACGCGTGTACGGGCGATTTGCTGTTTCCTTTGCCGAGTACATTGCGCAGAATGTTGGAGTGGAGCTTCGCGAGCCCAGTGCATTTGCCAGAAATCTCGAGCCTCGATGGATCAATGTGACATACCCGACGAAGGATCCGAATGATATACAGAGTATTGGTCAAGGCTGGCAGTGGTTGCAGAACATGGTCACCACGATTCAAGCGTTATATACCAAAGACGATTCCATGGTGCAATGCTCCGAAGATCGCCCTGTTTGTGACGTCACCGTGCCCAGGTCAAGGCCTCAACGCTCGCCTAGACGCCACGGTCGTGCAGGCGAGAAACCTAATCAATGCTATCCCCATGGACATGGACCAGATTCAATCGTGTGTCGGTGATATTGCTGATGATGTAACCCTGGCAGTCAAAGGGCAGACCAAAGATTCCAATGCAGCATGGGCCGACTGGTGCAGTGCAGCATCCTGCGGCGGCGCCCGTCCTCTGCATCGACTTACCAAGGTCAAGGCTATCCCGACGCCAGCTGTGGCAGCTGGTATTCAGTCAGGTGACCCTGTTATTATCGTTGCGCAGGAAGTGGAACTGCATCGTCGTCTATGGCATGCTTCCGACGTCGCTCTCCCACCCTGGGTACCAGATCGATCGATGTGCCCGCTCCTGGAGCCAGCCGACCTGCGTCGTGCTGCCATGTCATTTCCAGCTGGGACGGTCACTAGCTATGATAACTTTCACCCGCGGCACTTCCTGCTCCTTGACGACGACGGCCTCCACACGCTGGCTCCGCTGCTCTCGGCGTCTGAAGCCATAGGCATGTTGCCCAAGCAGCTGTGCTGGATCCAGATGCCGATGCTGGCAAAGCCGTCTGGAGGCAATCGTCTGATAATTTTGTATGCTGCCATCTACCGTATGTGGCAGAGAGCACGCAAGCCCATGGTTGCGCACATGCACGACGCCCTCGACAGAAGATACTGGGGCGCCAGCCGTGGGAGATCGGCCACTGACTGTGCACGGTTGCAGGCGGCTCGATTAGAGAGCAACCAAGCTTCTCACAAGTATGGAGTACTCATCACAGCGGACTGGGTCAAGTACTATGAATCGATTCCGTTACTCGAGTTGCGACGCAAGTTTCAGCGCCACGGGGCTCCTCACTGTTGGTTGAAGCTGGTCGTCAACATGTGGTCGTGCCCGCGAGTCATCCGACTCGGGCGCCACCGCGCCCAGACGGCCTTGGTGGCCACTCATGGGCTGCCTGCAGGCGACGGCTACAGCGACCTAGCGATCAAGGTCAACGCTGTCGACGCCTTCGACACGTTTGTTGAGCTGGCTCCATTCGTGGACTTCCAGAACTACATCGACGATACTGGGCTCCATGTCGCCTCGAGTGATTACGTAATTGCTAAGTCAGCGGCAGTTGCGGGGATGAAGCAGTTCCAGGCGGCCAGTTCGAAGTTGAATGCGGAGCTGCACCCAGGTAAGCTGTCAATTGTCTCTACCTCGAAGGAGCTCGCTCGAGACGTGTGTACGGCTCTGCAGCTGCCACTATCTGTTTGCAAGGCGAGTGCCGCGTATCTTGGCATAGATGAATCTGCAGGCGCTCGACGGTATGCACAGCGGGCTCGGCTGAAACAGAAAGGCCGCATTGCTATTCTGCAAAAGCGAATTCGCAAGGTTCGAGCCCTCCGAAGGCGTTTCAAGGGACCCAAGGAGACCCCGTTCAAGAAGGTGTCCAAACAAGGCGTTGCTCCTGCCTGCGGTTTCGGGGCGGAGGTCTTGGGTCTCACGGCCTCGGAGTGGCTGAACCGTAGGAGAATGATGGCCCGCAGCGAGGGGCCTTCTCACGGGGGCGTTTCCCTCACGGCTAAAGTCGCTCTTCTTGGGGATGGTAGTGCTCGCTATGCTATCGCCCGATCTCTCGCTGGTCTCACGCGCTGGGCTTTTGAAGCTTTGGGATTTGTGTCAGCATCTGGAGTGCCCAACTTGGAACAGATCCCAGGGGCCCATCTCTAGAGCTGTTCTCAGTTTAAAGCGTGCTGGTTGGAGGGCTGAAGGCCCATGTTTCTTGATAGACCACAATGGACTCAGAGTAGACCTGTCTGCCACGCCCCCTGCTCTCTTGGCCGTACAGCTGGAAGCTGGACTGCAGCGAGAGAGGGAATTTGAGTTTTCTCGAACGCTCGGTTTCCCCCCAGGGACTAGGGCCACCCTGGACCTGATTCGGGGCGAAGTCGGACCCAAGGCCCGAAAACTCACTCGGTTTCAAAAGTACCTAATTAAGAGTTGCGGCTGCGGTGGACTGTGGACCAATGATCGTGCCATGCGTTCGGGTACTTGTGTGACGGGTTGTGTGAGTGTGGAGAACGAGACACAGTCCACCATAGGTTGTATACCTGTCAGCTTACGCGAGTCGTTGATGCGCGGGCGGCGTCTGAGGTGCCTGATTCATTCCTCAACGCGGCTTGCGAAGATCCCGACAACCCCATCTTCACTCGAGGGGTTCACGTATATGAAGACAGCGCGTTGCCTTGCCCGTCGACGTCGTCCGAGGTTTACATTTACGACGGGCAAGGCAACGACCTGGACATGGCTCCTGAGTCAATCGCTAGCCTCACCACCCAAGCCCCGTTGCGTCTTGCGTCAGATGGTTCGAGCACCAAGCCTTGGATCCGACCCTTGCAGCGCGCGACCTGGGCGATCGCAGTATGTCCCGACGAGGGTGAAGACCCCGTGGCGATTGTCCAAGGAATAGTTCCAGGAGTCCTTCCGCAGACGCCTGCAATGGCTGAGCACTGCGGTATTGCTATTTGCGGTCAGATTGCTACGCGACCCACAGTGCTGGGTGCGGATTGTCAGGCTGCCATTCGTGTCTGTCAGAAAAATGTGAATGATCAGCTTGCCCTCTCCAGCCAGTTCGCTGGAGTGCGGGCTTTCGCGCGCGAGCTCGAAGGCACCCAGCTGATTCACACTGTTCGGCACGTCAAGGCCCATCGCGACGACGCGGAGATTCAGGGCCTGGAGGGCGAAGAAAAGATCTTTGCGCTCGCGGATGCTGCTGCCGACCGATATGCAAAACAAGGCCTGAATTTGCACCCAGCACCGATGCCAGATTTTGTCCAAGAGTTAATCCTTGCTGGAGAGAGAGCACGGCACTTCATCAAGCTTGCGGCACAGGTGCTCCCATGTTTTGACAACGATGCACGGTGGGCAAGGCCCCACAGATTCGGTGCTGCTCGGTCTCGACGACAAGTGTCGTGGCACGACTGGCACAAAGGAGAGCTCGGACTTCAATGTCGGCACTGTTTCAGAGTTGCCGCTCGAAGAATGGTGCGCTCTCGGTGTCGAGTCGTTTCTCGTCCAAGGAGCAGATCCTCTGTCTACGCTGCGGGGGTTGGTCCCAAGGGAGGGGTTTAAAGCTTGGTCGTCAGTGTGAGGCTCCGTCACGGAAAGGTTTGGAGATTTTGGCGGATTTCAGGAAGGGTTACTGTCCCAACCCGAGAGTTCGGGCTGCCCTCGATCGTGCGGTTCCGCTCGTGAGGCTTGGCCTTTCCGCCGCCCCTCCTGAGCCAGACGCTCCCACCGTGGTCCGAACCTCACACTCCAGTTCTTTGACGGCCCCCTCCTACGAGCAGCGCATGTCAGCCTTGTGTGAGAGGATACGTCTCAGGGAACAGGCCGCAGCGGCCATGTCCCGTTTCTAAGGTTTTTCGCTTTCCTGGGGTTCGATCCACCCCCCCAAGTTTTTGGAATTTAGCCCTGCTTTATTCCTTTTTAGTGCCGTGCACTCCCCTTCGGGTCTGTTATTCTTCTTCTTCTTCCTCCTCCTCCTTTTCCTCCTCCTCCTCCCCCCTCCTCCCCCCCTCCTCCCTCCTCCTCCGTAGCCGTTCTGGCTCGAGGGGGCTCGATCCCCAGCGGGCGAGACACGGATGCCGTCCGTCCGCGGGCGGCCGCCCCAACTGTGAGGCTCCCGTCGGAACCGCCTTCCATACTGATCGGCCACGCGCAGAGGGGGGAGGAAGGGGAGGAGGAGGAGGAGGAGGAGGAGGAGGACGAGGAGGAGGAGGAGGAGGAGGAGGAGGAGGAGGAGGAGGAGGAGGAGGAGGAGGAGGAGGAGGAGGAGGAGGAGGAGGAGGGGGAGGAGGAGGAGGAGGAGGAGGAGGTAGGGGGAGGGGGGAAGGCTTTTCAGGAACAGCCCTGCTCCTCAGAAGGAGCGGGCCTTCTCTGTAGATGCAGGGCCGACGCTTTCTGAGAGGCCGCCTCCCTCCAAGAAAGAAGCCTTCCCCCCTCCCCCTACCCCCTTGTGCGCGCCGCCAAATTTTGTGAGCGCATTGCCGGAGCATTCCATATCCTGAACGGGGCAGCCAACGCGCTATTCCATAGTAGCGCGGCATCAATTTCATGCCATGCCGTCATCTGAATAACTCTGGTGCAGGCGCTGTTGACGGGTCTCGTGCAACGCAGGTTTGTTCCAGAATTTCTCGCCGAGGCGAAGTTGCTCGCATTGCTGGCGGCACTCACCGTACCTCATTCGGCCGATCGTGCCGTGACGGACGACAAGACCCCCAGCAAACAATATCCATGGGCAGACAGCTCCGACAATGGCAGCGCAGCAGCAGCATGGGGTACACAAGACACGCTGAGCCTCCAACATCGACACCTACGAGCGAATCAAGGAAGAATGGCAAAGATGGTCGCGGCTCAACTAGATCAGGCCTGCAACAACACGGGGAACCTTTGGTCAAAGCAGTCTCTGCAGCTGGCGCTCGAGACATTGCCGCACAAGCCGCCCAACGACAGAAGAAGTTCACGCAACTCGGCGGTGACATCGTCACCCTTCGCGCTGCCCGACAAGTTCAAGCCAAAGAACAAGACCAGCTTTGGAAGGTGGTCAAGGACCTGCAGAAGGAGCTGGCCCAGGCCGAGCGCATGGTCGGCATGGTCACCGCAGAGGACGCAGCCAAGTACGACAGTGGCCCGAGCTCCAGCCTCCTCTGCCTCAACTCGCCCGAGTCGATCGCGAATGACTCGATCCCGCGTGCCTTCTCACCTTGGCTACAAGACGCCTGAGCACTCCAGCCGGCCACCGACTGCCGCATCCTTGGGGAGGAGCTAGCGCGTCGCTTCCATATTCAATTCTGAGTGCCTGAAGCAGCGGCTGCGTCCAAGCTCAGACAAGTCCGCGGACAATGGCGCAGGTACGTCGCGCCAGCTGCTGCGTCTGGCCAAGAGGCGCCCGTGTTCGTCGCTCTCGACAGGAGCCCTCGCCAAACCGGAAAAGAGATCCTCACCAAGAAGCTCTACAGCCACATCAAGAACGCGAACCCGCACGACGACTGGCGCATCGACCGCCACAAGAGCCAAACCTCCTGGCGCAGCCTGCCCGTGGCCCGCGTCGAGGTAGGCCGACAGCCCGCGGAGAGACTGACCATCTACAGGAGCCACGTGGCCTTTGGGGATCTCACCAGCAACGCGCAGGCCACCTTCGAATAGCCAGCGCCTGGGACTTCTTCAGCTCCCTGGCCAAGGCCGCTGACGCAGATGTCGAGTGGCGTCTTTTGCCGATTGAAAAGTTTCACATCCCTGAAGTTTTACGCTCGACAGTTATTTGCGGGAGGCGGGGCCGGCATGTGTGTTCTTGCCCACTCCGTGTCATGGATTTGCCGTGCCTTGCTACATCGTGATGTCCCAAAACGATATGCCAATATTAAATACTTCGCCAAGACGCTCAAGCTCAAGCCCATCCTGTGGGCTTTCCAGAAAGTTCTTGGATTGGAACAGGAACTCCGGCAGCTGCGCCTGGCCGATGGCGTTCGGGGGGTGCCAGAGCCGTCCCGAACGGCCGGGAAGCCCGAGCTATGACCCGAAAGCCACCAGGGTTGCACGACGCAAACCGTAAATCGGATGACGGCGAGCTGGGACAACGGCAGTTGGCTTTCGGCGGGTTCGCTCGTCGCCACGATTGGAAGGAGCTTGTAAAACTTGTGCGTCTGGTCCCCTGGAGGGGTATAGGGGGACTGATTTGAAGCTGCTGTTGTTTCAACCTCCCTTCTCCGACGTCGGCGGCGCCCACAACGGTGTAGCGCGAGGGGGGCGGCCCTGTGAGAGAGCAGGGGGGGCCTTCCTACAACGCGTTGGGCCCTTTCTGAGAAGGCCTCTCGGAGGCCGCCCGGGCCTTCGAGGAAGGCCTCGGGAAGAGCGCTGGGAGGGGATGGGCTCAGAGGGGAGACGCGGCGACCCCCAGCATCGCCCACGGACGCCGACGGGGGCCCGGAACAGCCCGCGCCGCCCAGGGGCCTGCGGATTCCTGGGCGGCAGAGAAGGGGGTGGTGACTAGGGGGGGGGGGATCTCATGGCGGGGGCCATGATATTTCCCAGATTTCGTGGCGCCTTTTTTTATTTTATTACGTCCCTGGCCCCCCGCTGGGCCGCGCACGTGCCGGTGGTCATGAGTTGCACCCCCTCCTCTGGACACCCCCATCTTGGCCGCTCCCGAGATTCGCTATCGGCCTATCGCAGATGTGTCGCCGATGTCAGGTGGGCGCGCCCGCCCTCAGAGCTGGCTCTCCGTACCCATCGGTCGTTGGAAGCGGGTTTTTTTGGATTCGCCAGTTCCCGATATATTTTAGGCGCCTTCCTACTTCAATGATCGAGTTAGGAGGAGGAGGAGGAGGTGGAGGAGGAGGAGGAGGAGGAGGAGGAGGAGGAGGAGGAGGAGGAGTTGCTTTACCTGTTGTTTCCGTCCTCCTCAGGGGGCGAACGCAGCCCACTCTACTTTCAACGCCGTCCTAGTTAATGTTTCTGCCGGCTTCTTCCGGCCGAGGGGTATGGTTGGCCATCAGCCCAGGGAGTACGAAGTCGCCCGCTGGTGTTGCTTGCTCGGGACATCTATCCCCAGCGCTATGGCCTGCGTGCCTCGGTTCTGGTCCTCAGAATGTCTTGTAACCGCGCTGCCTCGGAGAATGGCTGTTTTCAGGAAAACCTCAAAATAGTTTTTAAATAGGCCAAAAATAGGTTTTGCATGATTTTGTAAAATTGTTTTTAAATAGGTATTTAAATAGAAACCACTGGACGTTTCTGGTGCCGTCGAATTTTGCGGCTCATGTGTAACGGCTTGTCTCCGAAGCATCGCGGTTACTCCCTCGGAGTGAAATAGGGTCGCGCCGTTGAGTTGCGCTTGGGGGTGGCCGATCTGTGCAGGAGCATCGGTCCTGTCCGCGTTCGGGCCGCCCCGATTACCTCTTCGGAAGACGTAGGAGTCTGATCACCACAGCGCCGCATAGGAACTTCTCTGGGCAACTGTAGGACACACGCCCCGCAAAAAAAAAAATCACAAGCACATGCATATCATATTCGGGGTCTCTCGGGTGTATTTACAAACATGTAATAGAGAAACCCCGCGTGCCGCATGGGCCTCCCGAGCCAGTTTCGGCAACATGTATGTTTTGGGCTAACAAATTCGTTCAAACCTGGTGAGAGGCCCCGCGGGGGCATGGCAGATTTCCATTCGAGTCTTAGTGAACACTTGTAGAAAAATGGACGCTTCGATTGATATGTGTGCTCGCTGGCGGACGTTCAGACCGTGCCGCAACCATGGCCCCAATGCAATTGACGGGCCGTAAGGTTCCCTTCGTGTTTGGGTTAGTCATTTGTCGGATCCAAGGAAGATGGCGCATGCATGCGCGCCTCCCTCTGTGCATTTCCCCCGCCGCCCCTCTATATGTATTCTGCAGCGCAGCGTGTTCTCAGCCCGCCACCCCTGGACGAAAACCAAGTAGCAAAAGATATGACAAGCCATTGCCCCATGGATGGGAGACAATAAGGGGTGGGGGGCTGGAGGAGGAGGACGAGGAAGGGGAGGGGGAGGATTGCGAAATGTTTCATTTAAAGCTCCTCAGGGTTGCATCCGACTGGTGCTATATTATGAGGCCCATTGGTTTTCGTAGATCGGCAACGCGTCGGCACATCGCAATCCCGCGGCTTGCCCCAAGACGGTCCCAACAATTTCAGAAGCAGAGCGTCCCAGTCCACCCCCCGTTCAGCCGACTATCCCCCGAAACCGTTGTGGCTCAATTCGTGCTCATTGCACGAATTCTGGCATTTTGCCCGCGCATGCAGTCGCTCAGCGACCTGCTAGAGGAGGCTCTCGGCAGCGGCCCGTGCAGCCTGGACGCTGACCTGGAGGCCGCGGGTCGCAGCGACGATATCGCAGGCAGCTTGGAGGCAGACCTTGCAGCTGCTCTCGACGAGAGCGCCTCAGCAGCAGGCGCAGGAGATCAGGATCGGCTTGAGGAGGCCGCGCTGGTCGCCGTGGACAGTAGCGACGACGCACGGCCCGCTGAGAGCGCCATCGCCCCAGTCCATCATCGACTGGACGTGGCCTGCCCAGACCCATCGGCGTTGGAGACCTTCATCGAAGATAGCCAGGTGCTTCTCTGCGATCAATCGGTGGAGCTCGGAGTTGGCATAGAACGGCTTGGAGTCGCCTTTGCTTCTGGAGCGGATTGCGTGCACGGTGCTGCGGAGCCTAAGTTTTTGGAGCTCGTGGATGTGTTCATGGTGAGCAAAGCGTCGAGGTCTCTTCAGTATTTGGCGGACGACCTGAGCTTGCACCACGAGACAGTGATGAATAGAATTCTGTTCCATGCGTGCTGCACGTACCACATCTCGAGGCAGAGGACATTGCACGCCATCAGGACCATGTGTGCAGCTGTTCGGTCTGGTGGTGGGCGCTGCTTGCGCCTGTCGCTTCACGCGTCAATGGACGAGACGCCCATGTATCACAAAGTGTCACATGAGACGATGATTACCGACCAGTGCATCCTAGAGGCCATCCAGAACAGATCGGCGCCAGATAACATGTTGGAGTCACTTGTAGAGACTGATGTGGAGCCAAAGGGGAAGATTGTTGCATACGAGATGAAGGTCGGCGCGCTCTTCGAACTTCCTGCTGCGATCGATGATGGTGCCGACGGCGTGTCGCTGCCTCGGCGACGTTTCGTGCATGTCGTGTCTGTCATGCCGACGCCGCTGAGCAGTATCGATCGCACTACTGGCGAAGTATATCATCATCTCGCACGTTTGCACGAGCACGGCATTCCAGAGTTGGTTCCGTTGTTCCAGAGGTACGACAGGACATGTATGAGCGACGGCGACGGTGCTATTGCGAGAGCTGAACGAAATTTGTCTCAGGCGCCCAACCGTTCACATCGGAAATGCAGGATGCACATGGCTCAGCATGTGCATGAGAGAAGTTGCGGGGTAGTGTTTAATAAGTTGCTTGTTGCTCAGTACCATGCGGCGAAGGTGTTCGAGACTCCTGGTGCCAAGAGCGACTTCAAGCGGATCCTTAGAGATATCATTTCCAGAACGTTCGTGCTTAAGTATGGCATCGCCCCGCTGGACGCGACTTCGCACCGTCTGGCAGTGATCGACGCGTTTCTCCCGCCCTCCATTGTGGACGTTTCCCTCCAGAGGGCGCGCATCGTAGCCATCAGGGTTTCGAATGGGGACTTCAGGAAGCTCGGTGTGTTCGAGATGTACACGACCGACATGCATGCAAATGAGGCGGAGATGCGTTTCTGGGCCATCAGCCACTACGTGAGATGCATCATGAAGCTAGGTGTTTTCCCGTTCCCAAGGTCGAGGTGGACGAAGGCCCGAGAATCCATTCGTGCCATGGGCTTGTTGATGAACACGCACGGGCTCTGGCAGGAGGCGTTCAGAACATACGCTGAGGGACGTGTTCAGCCAGAGCCCGTCCCCAGCGGCGTTCTGGCCATCCTCGATCGTGATCTTTGCGATGGCGGTGGCGGTGAACTTGGTGCCTCGGAGGTCGCTCCAGTGCGTCGGGGCCGGGGTGAAGCGTGCACCAGGATCCAACCAACACCAAACGACAAACATGATGGGTGAGGCCCGTGGGGCCGTGGGCTCGAGATTGCGAGATGTTCCCAATCGGCGCCCCCCAGCGACCCCATCCCACTGTCCCGAAATGTCGCTGTTAGCTTTTTACTGTCGGCCTCGAGGGGCCATGGTCGAAGGGGACAGCGCAGCGTCGGTGGTGGTGGTGGCCGAGTGCACGCGTCAGCCAGCCCATCCAGAGGTTGTTGACGACAAGGCCTTCGATCGCAAGAAGGTCGCTCTCCACTTGAAGGCGGGGATGGCCACGTGCGACCCCGAGCTCGCAACTAAGATTGCTATCTTGTCAGTGCTGGTGGAGCCTCAGCAGAGTTACATGTACGACATGCTTGATCGGACGAGCTCAGATGCTGCTGAGAAGATGCGGGTTCAAGGCTCGGTGACCTCAGATTCTGCTTTCACGAGTGGGTCGCCCCACCTCGCGGCGATGATCAACGGCGAGCTCGAGGACGCGTTCTTGGCCAAGGTCAGTTCTCTGCTGGACGGGGGCGAGGAGTTTTGGCAGGTCGTTGCCCCTGGCTCCGTGACGTATGCAACCAGTTTGTCAATATTCCAGGTGTTGGCGGTCGGCGGTGCTATCGTGGTTGAGGATATCTTATCTCTGGTGTCATCACACCCCATGCGCACGTACTTGTTGGCCTTCGAGAGCGCGAAATCAGCAGACTTCGCCCGCGTGGGGGGGAAGTTGAGGTCTACATCGCGATGCTTGCTGGACTCTTGGACGATCGGTTTGCTCGACACTTACGGGGATGATATTGAGTGCGAAGCCGCTGT